CATCACTGGAAAGTTTGTAGTTCGGTCGGATATGTCAAAAGCAAGTAAGTAAAACAATGCACAAGTTACTAAAGTTATTTGACGGTAAGGAAGAACGAGAGCGAGCGAGAGAGAGTCCGAGAGTCCAACTTCTGTTGCATGATCTTGATCGATGTTCGCTCCATTAGCGCATGCATTTGGATTAAAACTAAATTGTAAATATAAAACAAACAAAAATTATAGGGGCATTCACTTTAAACAGCATTTATTTTAAACGTCAAGCATACACAACTTTATTTAAAGCAGAAGTGAAACTAGCAGACTGGGTGAAATGCGCTAGGCTGTAAGTGTCTCTCTCATTCTGCACCAATACAAACGTGTGCGCTTGTATGTTTAGCTTGCTTTAAGGCCAAAGTATACTTCGGTTTTTACTCGTACGCGAGGGTCCGTGTATACTGCGGAATTCAGCATTCATTTCGCATTCAGCAAATTACATGACCAAAATAGTACGCGTGCACTCATATAATGTATAACGTTTGGTTCCCTGCATTATTTTAGGAAAACGTTTTGTGATTACAGTATTGAGCTGCTGCAATGGAGCAGCTCTAATGCGCCATTAAAATGAACAGTGAAAGTAACAAAAGCTTATACAATACATTTTAACAGGTATAATTAAGTGTGGAAATAACTGAAGGTAATATCTGTTTGCTAAATGAAGCCAACTAACATGATTCATATTATTATTATTATTACTATTATTTTGTTTCTGTACCCAATATTTAAAAAAACATTACAAATGCTGTGAAAATACAGGTATCGGCGAGTACCAAAAATGAAAGTATCGGTATCGGACTCGTTGAAAAAAGTGGTATCGGTGCATTCCTAATAGCAAGAGTAGGAAAAGACACGAAGTCTCATGGCATTCAGATGAAGAAAATAAATGAATAAATAAATACCTACATAAATACACACATACATACAGTACATAAAAAGCCCACACCCCAACAGCCTAGAAACTAATTAACTACTTGAAAATACAAAACAAATTAAATAAGTGAATTATTAATGCTAATAATTATTATTAAATAATGCATTAAATACCTTTAATTAGTTCTAGATATCATTTTAAAAAGTCAAATACTTGTAAACATAGCTTTAAAAAGGACACACGAAAAGAGATGTTCTGCATTTAAACTACAACATTTCATGCACAGATCTATTTTGACAGTTTTGTCAGATGTTTTGTCGTGTTCGTTGCTACGGTTATCACTGTTAATCATAGCAATTTCAGGAGTGACTCACGGAACAATCCAGCGAATTCTGTAATTATATGCGTTTGTCACTCCTGAAACTCAGCAGTATACGTGGACGTAGATCCTCTTAGCAGTATAACAAACTAAACTTTTCTTCAAATTGTGAATGGATTAAAGAAAATGAGCAAAGAGTGCTCCCTTTATAGCACGACTGACTGAGCTCACTCATGTGAAAACTTATAATCAATCAATCTAATTTCGAATAGCTTATTTATATCGAGTCTACGCTTTTATTGTTTGAATGTAAACATTTTAAAAAATAAAATATAATAAATAGGGTTGGGTATCGTTTGGATTTTATCGATTCCGATTCTGCTTATCGATTGCGATTCTTATCGATTCCTAGTTTCGATTCCAATAAGATAAAAAATCCAATATAAAAAAAAAAAAATGAAGTCAAACATTTAGATGTCAAACATTTATTCTGTCTTTTTACAAAGCACTCTGTTGCAGCTGAGTAACACGAGCAAAAATCAGCAGCCTACAGAACACTGCAAGAGGAGTTTTGCCTATGCTTTAAAAAAAATACCACAGCAAAAACAACTAGATTAATATAAATTTCAAATATTAAAGTGTTAAAGACAAGTAAACAGTCAGTAATAAGATAGGAACAAACAAATCAATTAGCAATATCATAAATAAATACAACTGAACAAAAGTTCAGGTACAGAAACTGTACCTGAAAAGTTTAAAAACACTGCATAGTTTTCTTTTCATAAATAAAATATAGATTAATCGATTAAAGTTATTAAATATATTCAGTCAAGATCAGTGAATGATTTTCTTTTGTTCTTTGATTAACGTTAATGAAAAAAAAAATACTGTACATGTGTGTTTTCTTTCTCATCTGTTTACGTTCACGTAAGACAAAAACGGCTGTGTTTATGATGATATACTGACGTAGTTTTCTGCATATTGGTCGACAAATATGAAAGAAGTCAGTTTCGGCCCGGAACAACCTTTTCTACAGTGGAAATACACGGAACGGTTCGAGAACGGACACAAACCGGGAACCCATACCGCGACCTCTGTTCTCTGTGCTCGCGCTTGCGCTTCGTGTGCGCTGCACGCAAACAGGGCGCAAGTTCTTTCCATTCCTGCACTTAAATCGTTTTTAATCACATTAAAATGCGAACGCAGGAATCGTTAAGCAGAATCGAAATGCACGCGTCTTATCGAATACCCGGTTCTTGGAAATTTGGAACCGGTTCTAAAATGGAACCGGTTTTCGATACCCAACCCTAATAATAAATAAAAATGATATCCCAGATATATTTGCTTAGTAAGGTGAATATTATATTATATTATATTATATTTAGTAACACAATAAGTTGTAGGCATTTTGCATTTCGTGCATAAATTCAAATGGACAAAATAAAGTGTTACTAAGGACCATTTTTTAGCCAATAGTTGAGACAACCTAAACACTTAAATGCATCATGTTGAATTTTTCAGTTTGGCAGTGTTGATTGGTTAAGTCATTCTTACCATGGGTGTAGGTTTCTTTGTAAGTGGCAATGTCCTGTTAGAAAACAAAAAGTAGTAAATGACTTCATGGACAAACATTTGCCCCAGCTTTGGGAATGGTGATGAACACAGGAACTCGCAGAGCCTTTTCATTCAAAACAAACTGACATACAGCATTGGTAGAAGTGCACAGAATCTCCACCAGGATATCCTCGTCTGTGCCAGCGCCCTTCATGGCCTTCCTGAGCTCTTTAACTGCAAACACGTGAGGATGATCCAACATGGCAAGAATGGCATTCTCAAAATTACCAGTCAGCTCACTCTTCAAAACCTCCACCAGTTCCTTCAGAGAAAACACAAATCTGTGAAGGCATGCTCTTTATTCTTAAAAACTATTTCAGTGATGTTTTCAGAATACTTACATCATCATATTTGTCAACGTATGCTTGCTTGATCTCCAGTCTCTGAGCTGCACTTCGATTGGCTAGGATGTCTACGATGGCTTGCTCATCAGTTCCTTGAAAATTAAATAGAAAGACCACAAACGTATCCTCTAGTGATGAAAATATCCAGTAAATAGCAGACTAACTATAACTGCATGTAGAACTGTAATTGTACGGTATATTCATTTAATAAACATACTGAACGCTAATTAAAATGTAAGACTGACTTAAGCATCTCACCTAAACCTTTGCAGGCTTTGCGAATGGTCTTTATGTCAGCAACGACATCAAAGTCTTCATAAGGAACAACGGTTGGCTGTCAAATAAAACCAAGGAAAATCATGTCCAATGTTCATTATGTTTGATCCTGTTCACAATCAATTACGTAATACTTAATAATTACGTAATTCAAGCCCAGATCACTAAATTCATGTTTTAGCATTCAACAGTTGTGAGTTTGACCTTGCCTTAACACTAAGTCATTATGATTAGTTGAGGTAACTCTATTAAATATTGACCATAATATCGAACTTAATATAACAAATATTTCAACTACTCTTGCTGTAGCAAATATTTAAATGTCACTGTTTATTATTACTGAAACATTCCAGAAATAATTTCTTGCCGCTGTTATGATTAGTTGAAATGAGTTAAATCCTAGTTATTAAAATGTATTGATAGGTTAAGCAGAGAAGTTTCATCTAGATACTTCCATAAAATAGGCCTAATTGTTTTTTTTGTTTTATTACATATTTTAAAGATTTAAAAGTCCTTATATATACATATAATTTTATTTATTTTTTTCTTACTGTTGCAACGGTCCCAAAACATACCCATGGTAAAATATTTTATGGCAACACCCAGGGGCTTCGTGTGCGCTGCACGCAAACAGGGCGCAAGTTCTTTCCATTCCTGCACTTAAATCGTTTTTAATCACATTAAAATGCGAACGCAGGAATCGTTAAGCAGAATCGAAATGCACGCGTCTTATCGAATACCCGGTTCTTGGAAATTTGGAACCGGTTCTAAAATGGAACCGGTTTTCGATACCCAACCCTAATAATAAATAAAAATGATATCCCAGATATATTTGCTTAGTAAGGTGAATATTATATTATATTATATTATATTTAGTAACACAATAAGTTGTAGGCATTTTGCATTTCGTGCATAAATTCAAATGGACAAAATAAAGTGTTACTAAGGACCATTTTTTAGCCAATAGTTGAGACAACCTAAACACTTAAATGCATCATGTTGAATTTTTCAGTTTGGCAGTGTTGATTGGTTAAGTCATTCTTACCATGGGTGTAGGTTTCTTTGTAAGTGGCAATGTCCTGTTAGAAAACAAAAAGTAGTAAATGACTTCATGGACAAACATTTGCCCCAGCTTTGGGAATGGTGATGAACACAGGAACTCGCAGAGCCTTTTCATTCAAAACAAACTGACATACAGCATTGGTAGAAGTGCACAGAATCTCCACCAGGATATCCTCGTCTGTGCCAGCGCCCTTCATGGCCTTCCTGAGCTCTTTAACTGCAAACACGTGAGGATGATCCAACATGGCAAGAATGGCATTCTCAAAATTACCAGTCAGCTCACTCTTCAAAACCTCCACCAGTTCCTTCAGAGAAAACACAAATCTGTGAAGGCATGCTCTTTATTCTTAAAAACTATTTCAGTGATGTTTTCAGAATACTTACATCATCATATTTGTCAACGTATGCTTGCTTGATCTCCAGTCTCTGAGCTGCACTTCGATTGGCTAGGATGTCTACGATGGCTTGCTCATCAGTTCCTTGAAAATTAAATAGAAAGACCACAAACGTATCCTCTAGTGATGAAAATATCCAGTAAATAGCAGACTAACTATAACTGCATGTAGAACTGTAATTGTACGGTATATTCATTTAATAAACATACTGAACGCTAATTAAAATGTAAGACTGACTTAAGCATCTCACCTAAACCTTTGCAGGCTTTGCGAATGGTCTTTATGTCAGCAACGACATCAAAGTCTTCATAAGGAACAACGGTTGGCTGTCAAATAAAACCAAGGAAAATCATGTCCAATGTTCATTATGTTTGATCCTGTTCACAATCAATTACGTAATACTTAATAATTACGTAATTCAAGCCCAGATCACTAAATTCATGTTTTAGCATTCAACAGTTGTGAGTTTGACCTTGCCTTAACACTAAGTCATTATGATTAGTTGAGGTAACTCTATTAAATATTGACCATAATATCGAACTTAATATAACAAATATTTCAACTACTCTTGCTGTAGCAAATATTTAAATGTCACTGTTTATTATTACTGAAACATTCCAGAAATAATTTCTTGCCGCTGTTATGATTAGTTGAAATGAGTTAAATCCTAGTTATTAAAATGTATTGATAGGTTAAGCAGAGAAGTTTCATCTAGATACTTCGATAAAATAGGCCTAATTGTTTTTTTTGTTTTATTACATATTTTAAAGATTTAAAAGTCCTTATATATACATATAATTTTATTTATTTTTTTTCTTACTGTTGCAACGGTCCCAAAACATACCCATGGTAAAATATTTTATGGCAACACCCAGGGGCCCGTTGTTTAAAAGTAATCTGATCGGATTTTGGTCATCGGATTGTATCAAATCTTGAAAATGGGTTGTTAAAAAAAAATAAAAAAATAAAAATTCTGAATTAGGATTACATCACAAAATCCAATCTTGGTTTTGATCTGGATTAAATCCTCAGTTTGTGTTGTTCAAAACATTTTAGTATTGTCACACTTAGCCTATGGCGCGGAGCGAGGAATGAGGAGAACAGGAGTACACGAACAACAATAGTCTTAATTCAGAATATCCAGGAAGTAACACTTGGCAGCTGGAAACACAGGGGTTGACTTTCAATCTCGGACAAGGACAGACAGCACAGACTCGAACTTAAATGCAAGGGATAATTAAGAAACACAGGTGTACTGAATGACTAATTAACTGGGAAGCGGAACACATGGGGAAGAAACTGGGTCACAGAGCACAACGAACAGTCCAGGGGCGTGACAAGTATAATTGGGATACTTTTGATCCAAAAAAAAGGGATTATTCTGATCCCAGCAGAAGGGTGGATTACAGGAACAAAAATGTAATAAAACTTTAAAACTGGTCCAAAAATACAACATTTGTAACATGTAATATATCCCTAAATCCCCAAACAGCTGTCAATATCAAACAAAAATATTATATTTAATTTAAAGTTTTTAAATCACTGATTGTAAACTACATTGGCAAAATCGTCAGAGATGGACCAGTCAGAAGTAGTTATTTGTGTAAATGCAATGCGAAACTAGAATGTAAAACATTGGGATTTTTTTTTCCCATCACCATGTCCCTTTAGGTCATGGCACTAGTAATCCAGATTTAAAAATCTGAAAAAGTGTGTATCTCTATTAGGGTGATCCAATCCAATTTTGCTTTGAAAAAACGGCACAAAAGTAAGATGTTTTACCTGATCCTGTAGCAAAACATGGGATTTCTAAATCCAGATCATTCTGATCCAGATTAAACTTTTTGAACAACTGGCCCCAGTAGTTTATGTTAACTTGATATAAAGATATACATTCAAACACATCAAAATACTACTCCAACTACGACTAATACTACCAGTAGGCCTACTACTAAATAAAACACGTAAAGGTTTGTATTTATTTTATTTTTTTTAACGGCGAAATCTGTACTGAGCATCACTCTTTTTGTGAATAAAGAGGTTTATTGTCATACAAGAGCACCCAGTCTCCCCCATATGAACAAAAGCCCGGCTCAGGAATGCTCAGAGGAAGCGCCCAGTCCCGTCTGTAATCCTAGATGGAGGCCCCTGCACAGGCCAAAATGAAACCGAGTTTGTCTCAGTCTCCTCCCAAAGCGCTTCCTCTGACTCATTCGGTTAACGGGATTCTGATACTTCCCTTCCCTTTACAATATCATATATAATCAAACTCGCTGTAATACCTATTCGAAAAGTGAAAAAAAATAAAAAGATTTTCAACATTCAGCAGTAAAAGAAATCCTGGAAAGCTCAGAAAAGAAACACGAGACGCATATAACGGCATCACATTCAGAGTTCACGCGATATGAGGGCTGCGTTTGCCAAAAGCATCTTGGCAGCGGAAAACGCAGTCCAGATCAGTGAGGTATCTTAACTGTCTTTATTCTTTTCCCTATATATTCATTGTTATTTCCTTTTTTACACCGATTTGAATTGATCGATTATGCGACGTGTCCCAGACCAAACTCAACGCAGAATGTTGAAGTAGCTACATCTTTCTCTGACGTTGACGTATCACGTATGTAAGGTGCGTTGTAGCAGATAAAAATGTAATTTAATGAAATACTCACTTGGCAGTTTCCCATGGTGAGAGTTTCTGATGATCTGACCGCTGTCCGAACTGCAGGCCACACGCGCAAGAGTTTCTGTAAGTGACGTCAGCACGCAGGGAAATAACGGGGTGGCTTTTAAACGTACTCATGAGACGCTTTGGGCATCTGCATTTTGGAAAACCATTATAATCATCTATACATTATTATACATTACGTCCACATATATTATAGGCTAACTATTAATTCTGCAATTTTAACGTGTGTTTTTTTTTAAGCAGTAAGAAAATAGTTTGAAAAAGCATCTCAAAACAACAACATTGACCACAAGACTTAAAACCACATATATGACAAACAGTTAGAAAGTCACTATATTCAATTTGCAAATATCACAACAACCGATTAGGGGACGCACAGAAATCTTTTACCTTTAATTTATTTAGCACCTATAAAAAGAGAAATGTCGCCCCCTACTGAACAATCATAATCTGGATGAGCAATAAACATGTATATTCTAATACAGATTACAGACTCAAGCGTTTTGCCTTTGAATCTAGTCAGCAACATTTCAATTCCTCTCAGAGTGATGACTTTTAACATCAGACACGTTTAAAAGCATTACTTGTGTATTTATTTTTTATTGTATTTAGACCAACTTGAATGCTTATGTAAAATGTAGAACAGGATTAATAACTACGCAGACAAGAAGAGAGATATTAATCTCTCTTGGATCAATTTTGATTCTACACAACTTGATAAAACACTCAAAGCTTTTAATCTGAATTCGGTTTGCATCACATTTGTTTTGAAGATAAACAATTAAAAAATACATGATTTTTTGTTGAATGATTAAGTTTAATATACTAACAGTTATTATCATTATTTAAACAATTATTTATTATAATTATAATTATATAGCTCTTGAAAAATTATTTAACTCATTAAAAAAAAATACTATAAAGACTGGGGGTTATTTGAAAAAATTGCAGTATAATTCAATATAGTATCATATGCAATATAATAGAGGTTACAAATAGGATTTTGTCATCGATGTTTGAACTCAATAATACAATCAAACCAAAAGTGTGAAAGGGCCTTGTTGCCAAAAAATATAACTTTTGTTTTTTTTGTTATTAAAAATAAATAAGCAAGCCCAGCCCATGTGACAGAAAGTAGCACAAAAGTAATGCAATGCAGTACTTAAAAAAAAAGCAACTAACGCAATTAGTTACTTTTTTTATGGAGTAATGCAATTTTGTAATGCATTACTTTTAGAAGTAACTTTCCCCAACACTGTACACTGGTGCTACTTTTCTACATCTGCGGTTGATGGCAGAAGCAGACAAAGTACACAACTCCAAATATTACTCCATTACAAGTGAAAGTTGTATAGAAGTACTTGCATTTAAAAGTACTTAAGTACAGTGAAATTGCTGTAAACAGCAAGATTTAAAAGACATCATCGCTCTCACGGGACATTGATGTCATACACAGAACGGTCTGTGCAGTGCTGCTTTAAGTCAAACACCTATTGTGTTTTGTTAGGAGACACACAACAGTTGTTCTGTGGCTTTATAGGTTTATAGGTTTACAAATAGGTTTTGCAAAATCAATACAATATTGTGTCTAAAATATACCACAATATTAACTTCTTATTATTGAATTGTTGTAAATAAATATCACATTTGCAACTGGCCAGTGTTCAGAAAATGCTGGGAAATCCCTTCACGTAACCCTAGAAGAGTGATTACCAATAGGCTGTCAAAAAAAATCACATTTTAGAGAATCAAAAAATCACCCACTGACTTTCACAGCTGCTACATAGTAACCATTCTCTACTTCAAAGACCTTGATGGAAATGTAGTGGAGTGAAAAGTACGATATTTGTCTTTCAAATGTAGTGAAGTTAAAGTCATAAGTTTCCAGAAAAAATAAGACTCAAGTAAAGTACAGATACTCAAAAAGTGTACTTAAGTACAATACTCAAGTAAATGTACTTCATTACAGTCCACCTCTGGCTAATGATGAGATGGTAAGCTAATAACATCTAGTGTCCTGCGTTTTTGGTTTCATTCACGTATAGCAGTACTTTGGCTGTTTTATTAATTTGTAATGGTTAATGTTGTCTCAGCCTCAGATGTCACACCCATGGACCATTGGCTGAATGTCTGATGCATATATGGTAGGTTACACTTTACTGGAAACACTTCAGGAGTTTTGAAGTCGTCATCTGATTGGTTGAATTCTACAGAATTTCCGAGAGACGTGTGTCACGTTCTTTACTGTTCCGCCTGGAAACAAAGATGCCGTGGTGCCAAATGACCGAGAGCTCAGTACTGGCAGTTGCAAAAATTCTTCATTGCAAATAGATGGATCCCGCGAGACCTGGTTGCAAGCTCCCCTGACTTGCATGATGTGGCTGGTGTCTTGGGTTGAACAGTTGCATGTCCAACTGGGCATACAGGTCTTTGTGGTAGCCACTGCCCTTTTTACTTCCAATTTAGTGATCAGTATCATTCCAAGTTGCATATGCTCCATAGGTGCCGAGTGCCAGCTTCTTGTCCTTAATCACCTGTTGCTCTTCTTTGTTACACCACCATGTTTGCTTGACAATAAATATTCGTCCTGCATTTGTTCCTCCCACAGTTTCTGCTGCCCAAAGTATCTGCTCCACAGCTTTGTACCACATAATCTCCACCGTTTGATCACGATTCACCACCAAGTCGGCCAGAGTAGCTGTCAGTTTGTTCGTGTGCATGTTCAATTTCCCACGCGTAATCTTTTTGGGCCGGTTGTTGGCATCTTTGCCGATTGCAGGAGGTCCATTGGAATGTCTAGGGATGCTATCAAATTGGGTCACTTTGATGTTGGTCACCAACAGGTCTCACCTCTGGACCATCCAGTAGTCAATGTGAATCTCGTGGCTACCACTGCTGTAGGTGACCAGCTGTGTTGGTCTTTTCTTGAAATACATATTAGTCACGGCTAGGTTGTGGGCTTTACCACAGTCCAGGATATGACATCTGTTGTTGTTTCGCATGCTAAGTCTGTGACCTCCACAGCACTGTGCATATCCTTGCTTTTCTGATACAATGTGCCCATTCATTTAATCCTAAATTTGTAGTGAGTTTTTCCTTGCCACTGATGCCTTTGGCTTGCTTACTAAGGCACTTTAATACTGCCTTGAGGTTCTTGTCACTGTCAGCATCGATAAGGCTGTCTTGATCACTGCTTCTGAAATATTTGTCAAGGCCAATGCCCCTGAGGTCTATGTCACGGTCTTGGTGTCTCAGATCCTTTCCGTGACCTGCATCCAGATATGCCTACCACCACACTACAAGGGGCGTTTCCTCCGAGGCAAGAGAAGCAGTGTCTCCTCAAAACATTGGATGAGAAAAAATTAAATAAAATCATAGTACAAAAATAAAACAATGGCAATATTAGAAAATATAATATTAAAAAGGTTTTCTAAAGAAACTTTGTCCAACTGCGACACCAGCAGGTAAAGTACCAGCGGGAGTCCATGTCTGTCTCGCCTCCCCTGAGACCGTTTAGTTTTAACAGACCCCATAAAGCGTGCATGAGTTTGGAGGGGGGTAATTGAGAATAAATGGGGGGAAGTCACGTGAGATGAGGCATTGGCTCCATCGCGATATGATTGGACATGACTGGTTACACTGTAAAAAATGACCGTGAATTTCACGGTAAAAGACTGTAAAAATGCTACAGTAAAAACCTGTTAAATGGTTAACGGTAAATTCCCCTACTATATACGGTGAAAAACTGTATTGGACATTACATGTATTGGACATTAATTTTACGGTAGTATACCGTTTTTGGAAGTGGAAAAAGACCGTATAATTTACAGTGAATAACCATAAATTGACATTCCCAGAATTCCCTGAATTGCATTTCAAATTTGATGTTTTTTTTTGTTGAAATAACTATGTTTCTTAGTTTTTTCTTATTGCTATAAAATATAGCATTCTGTGTAGAATTCAAATAGCTCCGATACATTTTGTGGTCTGCGCCGACTCGTGCATGTGATCCGCTCCGTGCTATCGTGTCTCTGGACTGGAGCAGAGTGTGTGTGCGGTGCGGTGGTTAGCGTGACACAGCGCGAAACCAGACTTCTTTAGCCTCAATGGAAAGCATATTTACACTGTTTGAATCGTTCCCTGTCCCTACGTGCCATTCACTGTACAGAAAATACTAATTCTGTGGACAAGTGACCGATTTCAGCCGCAGCTTCAGCGTCTATTTATAATGCAGGGGGCGGGCGCTTCGGATTCTAGAGAGCATTTGATTGGACAGAAAGTTTGATGAGAAGCTGAAGTATGATGTGACGTCAAAAAAAAATCGGTGAGCCGTTTTGGCGGAAGTGACGAACTGCAAGCTTTGAATGCTTATATCTTCTAAACGCGAATTTTGTCGCTGTTTTGGAGCACACTGCCTTATAGGTAACCTTAAGACTAACGTATTGATACTAACACCCAAAAAACTTTAATTTTGATTTCATGGGGACTTTAAGTGTTTTTACTAAGATTTATATTTTATTTCAGCTTTATTTCAATTATCAAAAATGTTTTTAATAGTTTTAGTTTTAGTTAACAACACTGCTCTCCAATTGCTTTCTACTGAATTTCATTGCAGTGCAAGGAAAACAATATTACAGAGATCTCATTAAATTCACACTATATGAAATTTGTTAGCTGACATGGTCATGTGAATCAAACGCGTGTTTCTCCACAGGATGAGCTCTGCGGCTTGGGTTTGTGCTGTGGTTAAGCTGGTAAACCCATGAGGTGAGCAGATCCAAACCCCTGACATGCATGAGAGACGCGTGTTTATCTACCGCTCCGACTGTGAGATTTACGAGAGTGTTGTTTGAGAAACGCACTGGATTGTGATCTTAAGCAGGTAGTTTTTTACGAGGTAAACACAGGATCTCCTCAAACCTTACAGGGCTGATTTTAAACATCTTTTTGACTGTAGATTACAGAGATCTTAAATACTAAAGGAAAATTCAACGTCAAAGTGTCTCCTTGAGGAAACCTCAGCTCTCGTTTAAAGGCCAAAGAAATCCTCTAATTCCAATTCAGAT